CTCTTTTTGCTGAGGAAGACCGGCTCTGAGCTAACATCTATTGCCAATCCTCCTCCTTTTTTTTCTTCCCCAAAGCCCCAATAGATAGTTGTACGTCATAGTTGCACATCCTTCTAGTTGCTGTATGTGGGACACGGCCTCAGCACGGCCGGAGAAGCAGTGCGTCGGTGCACACCCGGGATCCGAACCGGCCGCCAGTAGTGGAGTGCGCGCACTTAACCGCTAAGCCAAGGGGCCGGCCCCATCACTTTCTTCCTTTCCTCTTATATTCAAGTACGTCAACCATAAGCCTTAGCTTTCAGAATTTTTAAGACAGTTTCCAAATATATACAAACAAAATTAAGAATCTCTTATCTTTTGTTAACATTTGGGGACACTGAGTGAAAGCTATACAGGAATCCTTTGTACTATTTTTTCAACTTTTCTGTAAGTCTGAAATTGTCTCAAAATGAAAACTTAAAACATCTTTAAAAATTTTTTTAATTTAAACAAGAGTCCCTTGTCTTTGAATATTTTAAAATATTGCAATGACCAAGTTTACAGTTTGAGTTTCAAATCTAGGTACAATATAACCCAGAATTACTGCATTTCATCCAAAGTTTCTGGCCACAAGATTATTTTTATCAACTCTCTTTCTACCTGACATGCTCAATTGCAAGCGCTGTCTGGTCAAATACTCCAGAATCATCAAAAACAACCCACAGCTCCTGCAGGGGCAACCGATGTTCCTTCAGCTCGAGGAGCTCTTTCATACACTCCAGGGTAAAAGTGCTCACTTGAGATTCACAGAGGTACGGGTCAGCAAGTCTCACTACAGCCTTCAAGGCTGCAAAGTCCACATCTGTGACCTGAAATTTAAAATAGTGTGACTTAACACATGGAAATCAAAATTAAGACACATATAAAACACTACTTATAGCCTGATTTGTTTGTTTGTTTGTTTGTTTTTGTTTTTTGTTTTTGTGAGGAAGATCAGCCCTGAGCTAACATCCATGCTAATCCTCATCTTTTAGCTGAGGAAGACCGGCCCTGAGCTAACATCTATTGCCAATCCTCCTCCTTTTTTTTTTCCCTTTTTTCTCCCCAAAGCCCCAGTAGATAGTTGTACGTCATAGTTGCACATCCTGCTAGTTGCTGTATGTGGGATGCCGCCTCAGCATGGCCGGACAAGCGGTAGGTAGGTGTGTGCTGGGGAACCCAACCCGGGCCGCCAATAGCAGAGCACGCGCACTTAACCACTAAGCCACAGGCCGGACCCTGGCCTGATTTTCTTTAAGCATGAAATGGGAGGGGGAAGCCTTCTTCTTACCCACATGGAACTTATATTGTAATCGAGGAGACAAATAAATAGGATGGTGACAAGTATGTGACAGAGAATAACTAGCAGGGTTAGTGGTCTGGTTTTCCTGGGATGGTCAGGGGGAGTCACTTCTGAGCTGCGACGAAGATGAAAAGGAAGCAGCATCTGAAGAGCAGGAAGGTGCAAAAGGTCCTGTAGCAGAGATAAGCTTGGCAGCCAGAGGAGCAGAAAGGCAGTGTTTCTTGCTGGAACCAAAGGAAGGAAATGGGGGTGGGGACAGCAGGAGATGAGGTGAGAGCTGGGGGCAAGGAGACCAGGATGTGAAGGGATGGAAGGAGCTTGGATTTTAACGTGTTCTCGAGCACAATGAGAAGCCATAAGGCCAACACCAGGCCTTTGGTAAATGCAATGTATTAGAGGTTTCAGGTAGAGGAAATGGCACACTGCTCTTTAAAACAACAACCCGGACTGCATTTAGAGAATTGACAGGGCCGGGGGACACAACAACGACATCATCATAATCAAATTATTAGCCTGAACTGCAACCAAAGATATTTGCATAATCCAAAATTTAAACCTCAGAAGGAGCAGCTACAGCCCCCGCCCTTGTCTGTAATCCCTGCAGTGGGGACGGCATTTTCTGAAGGAGCTTTGGCAACAACTCGTATTCACACTCCCTGCTGTCATATGTTAGTTTAACAGGGCTTTTGTGGTCCAGTTAAGAAACACTGAGAAAAAATTCACAGCTGTAATTAGAGTGCAAATTTAATGTAAAAAGTCCAGTCAGTTGAAAAATAAGATTGTTTTTACTTTCTGCAATGGAACACATTATCAAGAGATTAACCACATATCTACAAATTTGTTAGGCAAAAATAGGCTAGTTTTCAAATGCCTGTTTGGTTTGAGCTACATAATGGGCTACAACTAGAAGGTAAAAAATTAATTGAAACTCCATTGACTTCATAATCAGGCCTCTTTATTTTTTAAATGGTCTCAAACACCTCCTCCCCATCATAGGTTTACAACCCATTTCCCCTCATCAAATGACACTGAAACTTAAACCACCTCAATTCTCTGGTAGCTCCTCTTCAGCTGCCTTTAAAATTTGCAGAACACTTCACACACCATGGCAATTAGATGTGAAAAACATGCTACTTTCAATCAGCTCATAAACTTTAATTAAAAATATACACTTTGGCTATAACAGTCTGAAGGAAAGTGCTTTTAGCTAGAGACAAATGTCTTAACAACAGAATTAAATTTACCTCAACCAGCACCTCGAACACACTAGTGTGCCAGACTGCCCGCCATCCAGACGGTTCAAGGACCTTCTCCAAGAACTCCGCTGTGAATTCTCTTACCTCAGAGGCCTTGCAGTCAGCTACAAACAAATTAAACACAGAAAGAATGGAGAATGCATAAAACAGAGAGAAGTTAATAAATCCACTTTCTCAGAACCAACAACGGGCAGTCTAAAGGACTGAGATGGACAAACTACTTGTTAACTAAAGATAAGAGAACCAACTCACCTAAAATGTAATCTTGATAGGCTCTAAATCGCTCATAGAACAAAAGATGACTTGTTTGGAACAGTTCTGGGAAATGAGTTTTTCCTTCTGGCACAAAGCTTTGTAAACCGGTACCTGGCTTATCATGATTGCTACAATCACTGTATGAATCTTCATCTTGGAAGAAACCTAAGAGAACAACAAAAATAAGCAGGCTCAACTATCCCAGACACATCCAGTGCTTATACACTGCTACTGTTTTCATATCCTTGCTTAGAAACTCCAAGCAAAACATAAACAAGGATTTGGTATGATGCTTTCCTTACCTCTATCGTTGTCAGAAGAAACCAGTTTTCCAAACTTAAAAATATCTCAAAATCCAAGTTCTACTTCAAAATAATATGAACTTAAAATCTTTCACAGGTTAGGTTTTTGTTGTTGTTCTGTGAAGTTTTTCAGGGAGGCAGAGCAAGAGGGTTGTTTTTTATTTCAGTGGAAATCACCCAAGTTCTCCTTCAAAGGATACAGCTATGATTCTTACTATGGCTAGCAACGTGTAACAGTCAAATATCTTAGTCTTTTTTTTCCCAAAACAATTCCATAAAGCTGCATTAAAGTAAAGAGCTGGTTTCCTACACTCCCTCTCAAACGAGCTGAAGTCTCCTTTTATTTTCTGCAACATCAGTCTGTCAATGGTCCCTCAATAAACAGGGATGAGAGATTCTTAATAGTGCATAAGGTTTACTTCACTAAAGCTACTAGGTTCCCCCTCACTAATTTCAATGACTGTACCTAAGGAAAAGATTAGAAAATGTTAATCACATTCGGGTTGGGCTGTATGTAATTATGTTTCATAAGGCCTGATTTGGCCAGTGGCATATCTAATTCTGTGTAATATGATGTTTTTAATCAACAAAACGACTACTAAATAAACAATGCTGAGGGTAGCATTTAGACTCGCAAAGTAGTTTCCAGAGGTGGTTTCAGGGAACGTATCTGAGACTGTTATTAGCAGCAGTCTTTCTCTCCCTCCACCCCCTACATTTTCTCTTTCTTCGACTTCTTTGCCCCTGTTCAGCCACCAGAATTACTTGACCCAACAGATGACCAAAGTGTACTCAAGGGGCTACTGCTCTCCAACAACAGTGCACATGAGCCTCAGAGGACATCAATATCTTACTAGCTGTGAGACAACCTCTCTGTGCATCAGTTTCCTCTCCTATAAAGGGAAGGTAAAATAGTATGCCTACTTCAATTAAATTGAGAATTAAATAAATTACTTGTTAATCACTTACAACAGTACCCATCACATAGTATATATAAATGTTTGTTAAAGAAGTAATACCTTCACCTCACACCCATTAGGATGGCTACTATCAAAAAAACAAGAAAAGCTATCAAGAAAACAAGTGTTGGCAAGGATGTGGAGAAATAGAAACCTTTGTGCACTGCTGACAGGCATGTAAAATGGTATAGCTGCTGTGGAAAACAAAATGGTAGTTCCTCAAAAACTTAAAAATAGAATCACCATATGACCCAGAAACTCCAGTTCTGGGTATACACCCCAAAGAATTGAAAGCAGGGTCTCCAAGAGATATTGGTACACCCACATTCATAGCAGCATTATTCACAATAGCTAAAACATGGAAGCAACCCAAGTGTCCATCAATGGATAAATGGATAAGCAAAATGTGGTATATCCATACAATAGAACATTATTCAACCTTAAAAAGGAAGGAAATTCCGCAATATGCTACAACATGGATGAACCTTGAGGACATTATGCTGAGTGAAATAAGCCAGTCACAGAAAGACAAATACTGTATGATTCCACTGATATGAGGTACTTAGAGTAGTCAAAATCATAGACAGAAAGTATGATCATGGTTGCCAGGCCTGACAGGAGGGGGAATGGGGAGTTATCATTCAACAGGTATAGAGTTTCAGTTTGCAAGATGAAAAGAGTTATGGGATTGGATTGTGGTGATGGCTATACAACAATGTAAAAGTATTTAATACCACTGACCTATACACTTAAAAAATGATTAAGATGGTAAATTTTATGTTATGTGTATTTTAACAGTAAAAAAAGAGGAAAAGAAAGAATACCTTACGTCAGCACAATTCTTTACAGCCACTTTGAAAGTACTGCTTTTCACACATTATTTCACTTCATTGACACCACTCTGTAGGACCATTGGCTCTGTTTTCCAGATGGGAAAACTGAAGCCACGTGACTTTTGCCAGTTCACAAGAGGGGTTAGTAGTGGAATTAAGTCACATCCATGTTTTCTCACTTTGTCAGGACTTTCTAGTACACAATGCAACTGAAAATGTTAAACTAAAAACCTGAACAAGCTTAAAATATCAGGAAAAATAAATAAATAATGGAATCTCCATAAAGAGGCAGAAAGGACTGAGAACTAGACCTGGGTTCTATTTTCAGACTCTGTCCCAAATTGGCTCCGCTAACTTTGGGTACGTCACCTGCCCTCAGTGCTCAGTGCAGCTATCTAGGCCAAGGGTTCAAGTTGCTTCTTTCGGGAAAGCAGAGTGTGGTTCACGACCTCCTGTGAGATGCGGATAGAAAAGGTGAGCCCTCCCGCACAGAGACAGGCGCCCCGAGCCTCCGGAAGCCCACCCAGACATCCGGGCTGGGAACTCCCGGCCGGTCAACTCCTCCCGGTCTCGGGAAGCTGAGGCCAGACTGCCAGGGAGAAGGGGCAGTTGCCCAAGGTACCGCCCGACTTTGACGTCCCGAGAGTGGGTCGGAGCCTCGCACGGCCACCATCGTCACCCCGCCCACGGGTCCGGAAGGCCTAAGACCCGGGCGCCCTCGGGGGGCCCAACGCCCCAGGCCGCCGCGGACACGGTCCGCCGCTGGGAGGCGGCTCCTCGGCCGGCAGGGCGGGTGCTCACCTTTCTCGAGGGGCGCCGGCTCCTCCTCGGCCCCCCAGCCAGTGGGCTCCGGCCCCGGACACGGCGCCATCGCCTCCGACCCCAGCCAGACACCAGCCAGCACCCCGTCAGCCATTTCAAATTTCCGCGGGCGGCCTCCTAGCCTCGCGATGTGATGATGCGGGCGCTTCTGATTGGAGAGTGGGCCGAGGCTCTGGGGCCAATGAAAGAGAGGCTTGCACGGCCCGTGTCCGCACGGGCCCCCCCCCCTGCAGCCTCCACCGAGCGCGTGACCCGCGCCTGCGCGCTGTCCGCTGGCGGGCGAGAAGCTCTTCTCGCCCCCGGGTTTTGCGTTTCTGTTTACAGGGAGGCGGTTGACAAAGTTGAATTGGGACGTAATTTGAGGTGATTTTCGAAGAACTAACAAGCCATGCCTGGAAATGGGGCTCTTAACCTAGAAGTAAAGAGCCAAAATGAGAGGCAGTGGAGCGTTTATTTTGGGATCACAGAATTGAATTCGGGGAGCACAGGTTCAGGTGGAAACCCAAATAGTGTCCCAATTACAGGAGAGGGGCTTAGGGTTTTTATGAGGGAAAGGGAGGATGAGGTGAGCTGTATTAAAGAAGAGTTCGTTGGTGCTGGGTTAGGTAAGGCTAGGTTTGTACTTCATAGGTTGGCCTGAGGTTCCGTCCTCAGACAAAAGGCCAGACTTGTACTTCATTGACTGGTTAGTTGTGGGTCACCAGTCGAGTCCAGTTTCATCAGTCCTTACAAACAAGATACCCTTCTCCATACTGACTTCTTTGGATGGTTAGTGGTTTGCAAGATAAAGAAAACAAAATGGGCAAGACGATTCCTCTGAAATGGCTGCTCTGGCTCTATTTTAAAATGGCTCCACTCATGTCGTCTTTCACAGGGTATAGAGGAAAAGGCCCTGGATGGAGAACCAAAAACATAGTATTTAGACTTGCTTGTGCCATTACTAGTGGTATTACCTTGGGAGAGTCACGTCACCTCTCAGAAGATCATCTTCAATTGTAATAGCATATTGGCCTAGGTGGCTCGGAACCTTTCACCACCAAAAATCAGCCTCTCTCTCTCTCTCTCATTTACTACAAACACACACACACACAGAGAATATTTTCAAAGATGTCAGATTAAATTTAGTAAGTAAAAGTATGTTTTACCCATATTTATTAATCAAAGGCAACTATAATCTCTGATAATAACAGCTAACATTTATTGAGTATTGTGTGCAAGACACCCTCCTGCACACTTTACCTGCTTATCTTCTTCAGTCTTCAAAAAACACCCTACGGGGTGCCGGCACAGTGGTTAAGTTCAGCACACTCTGCTTCAGCGGCCTGGGGTTCATGGGTTTGGATCCCAGGCTCAGACCTACACATCACTCATCAAGCCATGCTGTGGCAGCATCCCACATACAAAATAGAGGAAGATGGGCACGGATGTTAGCTCCCGGCCACTCTTCCTCATGCAAAAAGAGGAAGATTGGCAACAGGTATTGGCTCAGGGCCAATCTTCCTCAC